TTCTCTTGGAGTTCCTAGGGCTAGGCCAATCTTCCCAGACTCAAACCCCAGCTCCCAAGTAATGTCAGCCACAACACTGTGAATTCCTCAGGGAAGTGCCAGTCTCATCCTCTTGTATTTCCCATGTTCCTCAGGAGATGTAAGAAAATGTTTTTCTCCCTGAGCCTGGCCTCCATAATTCCATTCCATCACAAGAACAGGGTTTCTCAACCCGAGCAAGTTTAAGATGTGTGGACTTCAACTCCTGGAATTCCCCAGCCAGCATTAAAAGATCTAATCCCACAATAGGCTAATAAAGCTCATTTCTGCAGTGTAGTGTGCAAAATGACTCTGTTTGGTTGATGCAAGGTATATTATGGTTTAAGGCAGTGTTTCTCAACTTCAGTAAGTTTAAGATTGTGGACCTCAACTCCCAGAATTCCCCAGCCAGCCATGCTGGCTGGGGAATTCTGGGAATTGAGGTCCACACATCTTAAACTTGCTGAGATTGAGAAACAATGGTGTAGAATATGGCTTCACTGAAGGACTTATTAGCTGGATCACAGAATTAAATATATCGATGCTATTTCCCCTTCCTGGCCCAATCCAAGCACACGGTGTGTTGGATAAATGACTAGCCCCATTAAATCATAAGTGCCAGCTCACTGACAAAATCACTTTGTCCTAAAATGCTAACTTTATGATTATCCATCAATGAAGGATAATGGGAATCTTACTGAGAGAAGTCATGATTTCAAAGTTCTCTTCCATGATTTGCTTATAGAGAGCTTTCTGGTCAAGCTCCAGCAGAGCCCACTCTTCCTCAGTGAAATACACAGCCAGCTCCTCAAAAGTTGCCAGATCCTGATTGAAAAAGAAAAACGAAATCATCATAAAAATATACATAGTGCATGTAATCTGACTAAATGCATTATTTCATCTTACATCATGGCATCTGCTTCCTTACTGAGCAGAGTAAACAGTCAACAGCCAATAGCAGTTAGTTATAATTAGAGGCAAAATATTTTGGAATTCCAGGTGTGGGAGATCTGGAAGAGTACTGGGTTAGAACCACAGTGCTGGAAGGGGCCACTGAATGCGCTGCTCTTCCCGCAGAAATAAAACACCCAGAGCAGTGTTTCTCAACCCTGGCAACTTTAAGATGTGTGGACTTTAACTCCCAGAATTTCCCAGCCAGCATTTAAAAAGTTGCCAAGATTGAGAAACACTGACCCAGACAGATGACCATTTAACCTTTGTTTGAACATATCCAGTGAAAAGGAACGCACCCAGCACTTTTCTGGGTAAGTGGTACCGCTATCCAACTTCTCTTACCATTAAGAAGTTTTTCCTGAAACTTAACCAGAATCTGCCTCCTTGTGGCTTGAATCCATTATTCTATATCCTGCCCTCTGAGATGAGAGAAAACACACACTTCTTCTGTTTGATACCATTTTGGGTATTTGAACAGTACAATCTTCAGTCTTCTCTTCTCAAGCCTAAACTTTCTCTTGGTTTCTCCTCATTAAGACTTAGTTCCCAGTTCCCAGATCATCCCTCTGCTCTGAAAACTACCCCAGTTTCTCCTTGGAGTACCCAGAATTGGACCCTGTACTTGAAGTGGGGCCTGACCAACACAGAATACAGTGGAACTATTATTTCCAATTATTTGGACATTTCTACTGACGCAATCTAAATCTGTCTTTTTTTCTATGAACATCACTCTGTGGACACATATTCCATGATGTTACTAAAGAGGTATCAGATTTCTGACTTTAGGAAAAAGGAGACTAGACTATCCAGGCCTTTGATCTGATCCGGCATGACATTTCTTATGCTGCCAATGTTGACTGAAGCAAAGAGAGAAAGAGATTGGTTGAGAATCAGAGATGTAAGTAGAGGACAATGACACCCAAGGACTCCCTCCCAATTGTGCACGTTTTATTTTTTTTTCTTGCTTTTTAATTGAAAGAGTCGTTGGGAGGTGGAAGTCGAGTCTAAATTATATAAATAAATTATAAATAAATAAATAAATAAAATCCTTCCCTCTACCTGATCTGGGTCAACAGCAGTTTCTATTCCACCGCAGAGAAAAACAGAGGACTCTATATCTTTTGCCAGCATCAATTCATCCCCTACAAGAGACAAGATGGGAAGGCTGAAGCATTTGCCTGTCTCAGAAATGTGAAGTTATGGTGCTAAACATCTTACAAAGAAGTAAGTCCCTTGGACACACTAGGACTTACATCTGAGTAAAAATAAATATATTTCCTCTGCAACAGAGGCAAACCTAAATCCCCATGGGTTTCACTAGAAACCTTATCATTTATTTAAACATTAGAAAAACTTCTAAAGATTTCAGTCTTTGAGAGTTAAAAATTAAAGCACTCTGGAAAAGAAGTTGGAATCCCATTTCTTTCCCCCAAATTAATTAATATGATACAGTATTCGTCTTCAACAGTTAAACATAAGAGCACTTTCTCAACTGCAAGAACAAGGTGAAGATGAGCTTCTTTTTCCAACCCAAAGATTCAGGGAACAGAAGAGTAGCCCAGCATGTTTTATATGTGCCAGAGAGATCAAGTTGAAATACACAATGCTGTCACAGATTCTTACCTTGCAAGGTAACTCCTCTGTCATCTTCTTGCAGGATCCCTGTTTGCAAGGGACTCCTTATGGTGTCCAGCAGAACCTTCTCTGTTGCAGGAAAATCATATCCCATTTTTATAAACAAATGATTTATCTGAAATGGCAATGAAGATCCATGACTTAGAAATGGAAGCAGGATTGGAAAAAAAATGAGACAGGCAAATACTTTTGAGTTTCCCCTGTTGGATGATATGTGGCCCTCTGAAGCCACTGGGACAACGGGCCCTCACCTGCTGCTGCTCCTCCAGCTTCTTCTGCTCCAACTGACCCAGGAGGAAGCCTTCAGCCAGGGCCACCGCCTGGGAGCTGCTCTCTGCTCCGCACTCCCGCACCCAGCTGGACATCTCCACCGGCAGGATAGCCACCAGCTGGTTCAGGGTCACCAGGGCCAGCACCTGACC